TCGAATCCCGGCGAGGGAAGAACAAAAAATTTGCGAATGCAAATTTACAGATCTAACATTGTTGGGCGGTTGTATATATATATATATATATATAAGGCACTATCAAGGATAGAATTTGAAGTGAGTTGAACTGGAATGGACCCTAAGAGCTCTGACATAGAAATGAAACAAAATTTTCCTTATGCGCTTGTCAAATTGTTTTTAAATCTTACTTTTGTGATAAAGCAAAGCACCGAGACATGATAATCTGGTCGTATAGGTGGGGAAGGAAGGGTTCATACTTTGCCATCCTTTATAGAAAAATACATACTAGATTGGTTCATGTAAAGTCTTGTTTTTGTTAAAATTTGTTATTTCTGAGGCGTTCTTGCGTCCTAGCTCTCATTGTATTCCTATGTCAGTGTCAGAGACGTGTTTGTAAAGCTGAAAGAAAAGACAACCGATTTGTTTTAACAAGTAAAAAAAAAAAAAAAAAAAAAAAACGAATGGAAATAAAAATGTATAGAAAAAGAGTTCGTTGTTTTATGGCTTCATATATAGAACCAATTATCATTGATTGAACAATTTTACTTTCGATGTTTCTGAACCAAATTTTTTTTGTACTACCTACTTTTCGATTATATTATCAAATAACAACTCGGCAACTTTCAGTTTTGAAAGTTTTCGATCTATAAGTTCGTGTACAGTGTAGATGAACAGAAACCATCATCATGATCACGCTTGAAAACGATATTCCCTTCGCATGGTAAAATGATACTTTTTCGATAAAGACAATTTCCGAGACTAAAAAACGTGAACGACGAGAGACTGCTCTACTGATGACTTTTCTTAGCAATTTACTTTTAGGGGGTTGTTTTTCTCACAGTACACATCACATGTGTATTTGTTAACCAAAACTGGGTCGGTCTTTTCACTGCTGAACACCATCGCACACCACCGAAAACCGCAAAACACTGCAGAACAACCAAAAATGAAATTAAAACTATGCGGTGTTCGGTGGTGTGCGGTGGTGTTCGGCGGTTAAAAACCTAACGACTAAAACTTGCATGGTTCTCGATTGCTTTAAATGCAAACGGTCATGGCCTTTCGTAAATACCAGATGAGTGGAAATGTATAATCTGTTTCCGTTTATTTGACACACTTATAAGAAAGAGAGTAGTTCAAATACCACCCCAATAACGATTCTATAAACCACATTTCTATTACGGCGGTAATATACCTTCCTTTGTCGGACTGTAGGGGTGTCGGACTAATGGGGTGTCGGACCAATGGGGTTTCGGACTAGTGGGATGTCTGAATATCGGGGTGACCCCCATCTGGGGAATGAGGGTCTTAGGAAGCAACGATTTAACTTCAAGGAAAAAACCATCCCCCCTTTTTGAAGTCAAATGGTCGTTTCCTTATGTTGCGTTTTTGATAGATATTTTTTTCGGCAGCATATATTATCCTCTGAAATGTAAATATATGATTAAATTGAAGACATATATCCCCTTACCCTTAACCTGTGGATATTTTCCCGTTACTCTATGGAAAGAAATTATTTTAAAAACCTACTACATGTAATTATCACTCATCATATACGATCGTAAATAAAACAGATGTACACAAAGTCAAAATTAAATCTTTATTTAAAATAGTTACATAAATTCTTTGTTAATAATTATATTCAATAACTAAAGGTAAATCATTTTGACATGCACACCTATTTTGGTCTGAGCGTCACTGACGAGTCTTATGTAGACGAAACGCGCGTCTGGCGTATTAAATTATAAGCCTGGTACCTTTGATAACTTTTTGCATGTATACATGTTTTAGAAAACCTTTTGATAACCAACAAGGCCATAAACACCACCCTGTTAAGATGTTAACAGTCTACTTAAATTATGTCCTCTTGATGAATTAAAAAGTAGAACTAGACATTTTTAGATTTTGTAATCTATGAAACTTTCCAACTATATAATTCCGATATGTCATTGTAAATATTGGGAAAACCCAAAACTATTTAATTTGCTAGCTATTTATAGAAAGTAGTCACAAAAAGTTCTCTTTGCTGACTAAGTTTATTAACCGATAAGGGTACCAGCAACGTACGCAAATGGTACTATCATGTTTTACTTTGTCGGCGTCAATAATCGCAAAGAACGTCCGTTCCTTACAGGGGTGTAGGACGCTAAATAAAACAAAGATGGATACAGACGACCACAAACCCTATTAATGTGTAAATGTTATGTAAAAATCGTGACCCATATATTCATGATATATATTTCATACATTATAGACAGACTCAAGCTGGCAGCCACTTTTAGCAGCCAAGCAAGATAGAAGCCACTTTTTTCCAGCAGCCAATTTTCATGATATGTCTACAAACCAAAAAACTGTATAAGATTCAAATGTTCCAAAAATCTCAAAATCTTAGTTTAATATAATTTGACTGCGGAATTCGACATTTTCACGGATTGTTGTGATTCTCAAAATATGACAGTCAGTTTTAACTACCATGGATGAAAGCAGCCACTTTTTTTCGGAGGACACAATTTTTTATTAAACAAACAGTGTCCTCCGAAAAAAAGTGGCTGCTATCATTATTGGTATTTAATTCTGACTGAAATCCTTTGAGAATCACTACAAGCCGTGAAATTGTAGAATTCCGCTGTTAAATTATATTTAACTAAGATTTTAAGATTTTTGGAACGTTTAAGTCTTGTACAGTTTTTTGGTTTTTAGACATATCATTAAAATTGGCTGCTGGAAAAAAGTGGCTGCTATCTTGATTGGCTGCTAAAAGTGGCTGCCAGCAATCGTGTAATTAATTTTCTGTTATAACATTAAAATATTTGACATCTTAATAAAATTTCACAGATATAAGATATAAGATATATATGATATAAAATATATATTTAAGATATAAGCAGCTGCACAGGCATTTGTCTCTGAACAAAATTTTCCATAATATAAAATCCAAACAATCGGCGGTTTGCCACTAAATAACGCTTAAGAAAAATAAACAATACATATGCAAAATTTACAAAATTTTAGACAACATGTTTCTCCTCTAAATAAGCATAACAATTATTATATTTAAAAACAGTAAACAGAAAAAATGTTTTCACTGAACTAGTACACAATTTTATTTAGGGGCCAGCTGAGGCCCACCTCCGGGTGCGGGATTTTCTCGCTGAGTTGAAGACCCATTGATGGCCTTCGGCTGTTGTCTTTTCTTTGTTTGGGTTGTTGTCTCTTTGACATATTCCCATTTCCATTCTCAATTTTATTGCTAATTGCTCTCTATTCCATTATTTTCAAATGAATAATATCTTGTTTCTATAAAAGTGGCACCGTATAAAGATGTACATTACAATAAATCGATCATATCAATTATACAAAGAAGCGGTTCACCAATATGATCTGAATACCTCCACAAAGGTAGTCAAGAGCCTCCGTCGTGCTTTTCTATAACAATCATGACATTGTCCTTTTCGTACAACACTTCGTTGAACTTTCTCTTGAGTTCGTTTTTTCATACAAGTTTAAAAATTGCTCTTTAAATAGTATCACGATAGCACTTATCTCGTAACTTTGTTAAAGGCAAAGAGTACCTTACATTTGTAGCTGTTGTGCTATCGGGCCATTATGAGGGTATGTAGAGGAATCATAAAGCATTGTCAGTTAATGATGGTATTTCTTAAGGTCTTTATCTTATCTTTGAAAGCATCCTTGTAACTTTGGAAATATAGAACGTGCCGTTCCTTTATTTGGTACTTTAATGCACATTCGATCACTTCTATGAAAATGCGGAAATACCGTAAGCTACAACATCAACAAATTCTTTGATATTTTTTACTTTTCTGAAATGTCAAGCACAATTACAGCTGATAGTTTCAATTAACTGCCATATACTGAGACACACTATATATATAATAATACACCACTTAATCTAGCCGTGTTAAAAAGTTATTCAAAAAGTTCTAAGTAATCTGTATGCTTAAATGACTACGATTCGTATTATTAACAATGCATGATTAACAATTTTCATTTTTACTTTAATTTTTTGTTGCAATTGTTTAAATGTGAAAGCATTTTCTGAATAACTGCTCACTATTCCGAATCAATATACAATATAGAATGACACTAAACATGTTTTTAGAATTTGAATATTTTTTATAAAACGATATTTTGAAAGGACGGTAAAATTGAAGCTGCTGCTGTGTTGTACATGTTGTATCAATTCCAAAATATTTGAAAAATAAAAAAAATCGTTTAAAAAAATATAGATTGATTTCGATAGTTATATACATAATATGATGTAAATGATGTTTCATATGCAGATAAACTGTGAAGAATTGTGTGTGTATTGAAGTTTTGTTTTTAAACCTATAATGCCTTATAGGTTACAATCTACCATTAGCTCTTTTGGGACCAGTCGAAAATGAGCATAACATGGTATTCAGAAACAAAAACATGGCAGATTTTGATTGGGTGGAGTATGCCACAAATAATAATTTTTTTTCCTGAAACCTTATGGATTCTTGGTTGTAGCAATGACAAAATAAAATTTGATTCCTCCTTCAGAAGTAGTTGAGAATTTTTTTTCTTCCTGTTGTTGAATGCATAAATTTTACTGTTATTTTTGTGCGAGATTGACGGTCACCCTTGACAACTGTAAATTACACCTAGAAAAGCAACGCGACCATATCATTTTTTTTATAAAAAATGTTAACACAATAAATATTCTTTATTTTAAAAAAGGTTTTATAATAAAAATCAACTCAATAAAATCAGTACAGCAAGAAACATTACTATTGTCGGCAATGGAAAAATCAATTGTTTTTTACATTCTATAATTGCGTGTTAAGTAAACATATATTTAAGGTTTCAGGATTTTCCAACTTTTAAATATAGATTCGGTATAAAAATAGAACATGATTTAATTTAATCTCCAGTCGGTCATTGTATATTACTGGGACTTTTATATTACGTACCTTAGTTATGCTTATCATCATCAAGGTGACATATATTATATATTGACTAGCAGAGTATAATCTTCTGTCAGACATACCAACATAGCTGAGGAGTGTAATAGCATGATGAGTTTGGTTTATATTTGCAAATATCCGCATCTTCGTATTTACTGCGTGCAACTAAGAATTGTTAACCTAATATATTCTTTGGAAGGATGTAGATGCAGCAATCCAATTCTTCTGATATGTTTGGAAAAATGTGAAATTCAATTAACTTGCCGAGAGAAAGTAGGAAATCGTTATGCATTGCTAAATGGTAAAAGTGGAAGTCATATTTTGTTCAATGAATGGGTACCAAATTCGTCTATAAAGTCCGAACAAAATTGCAAGGATATATCAAGTCGTAGAAAACTCGTTGTTTTAAAAAGTTTTTGTTGTTCAAATTGGATGCATACTATTATTCCCTGTATCAAAGGAGTGCAAATAATTGGAGGTCACACGACTGATATTATTCTGAAAGCGAAAAGGAGCAGTGCAGTTCCGTTTTTAAGTGCTTTTTTGTTTGATTATATGCGGTGCAGTGACACAGCTTCAGTGAGTCTACTCTCGGTACTGCTATGCATTGTCAAAATATTTCATTTACATAGTTTCATATTCCACCTATCTCAATATTGTTGTAATCAGTTCTTTCGTGACATCGAAATGTATTGTAGCCATACGACAGATGTTTATTTTAAGATTGCAAAGCAATCTTTCGCTTTTGTATGTGTGTTTTTATTTTCGATTGTATCAATGGAAGTATTACAGATACTTAAACATATCGTATATAAATTATTTGCAGAATTATCAGGTAATCGTCTTTTAATTTTTCATTTTCCAAAAAAACAGTTCCAAACCATCAATACAGAAAAAGATATAATGAGTTTAAAGTCCTTTTTAAAGCAAAATATACAGCCTTTGAAGCCAAGACAAACCTTAACCGTATTTCCCATTTACGGAAAAACTTCAAACGCAGCGACAATGAGACAACAGCTAGATAGCTCTTTAATACCAGAAAGAAGTACGGACAATAAAGGATCAGTAAACGCAGCGACAATGAGACAACATCTTGATAGTTCTTTAATACCAGAAAGAAGTATGGACAATGGAGGCACAGTAAACGCAACGACAAGAGGACAACAAGAAGGTTATACTTTGATGCCAGAAAAAAAAATGGAAAGCGAGCTTTTGCGACTGTCGACTTTATGCAATTTCCCTGTGTTCGGAATAAGTCTTATACGCTTAGCGGAATATGGGTTTTATTCGGAAGGAAATAACGATGAACTGGTTTGTTATTCTTGTGGCAATCGGGTTAAAGGATGGACTCCTTACAGCGACCATTCGGACGTCAATAATCACTATTCGAACTGCCAACATGTCAGAAAAAAGAAATTTGCGGTACCACTTGAAGCTTCAGGTTGTTCACAAGATTTTACACAAATGGGTTAGTTTATACTTTGAGGTGCTATACATTACATATAAAGTCTTATAACCCCATTTAACTTAAAAGAAAACTTAATAATGTATACAGATTATATATCTATAATTTGTTATACATTTATTAGGTATGGAATGCACCAATTTTTGTTAAATATAGTTAAATTAGTATATTTATTAGAATCGTTAAATGAAATGCCACATAAACTCTATCCATCTTAATTATTTTGATTCAGATGAAATTAATATTGGTATGAAATAAGCTCTGAAAGGAATTTCTTGTTAACGTAATAAATGGCTTTTGAAAGCTACCCACGAGAAATACAAAACAGCTTATAACATACTGTACATACTTTCTCAAGCGATAAAGGTTAATTGCTTTATGTATTTTATACACTAAGAAATAAAGATAAAAATAAGGAAACATAAGATGCATTTATCATCGGGTTTGCTGCCAACAAAACACAGGTCATCTAAATAGACAGTCCAGTTTTTAAATTTAGACTGAACTGGATGGTCAAATGTGACAGAAAACAATAGAAAAAATCCCCAATATTCTACTTTTTTTTTACTTTGACGCATTGTTCGGACAGTTAAAAAAATTAAAATGTTATTTTACAGCAAACAAGTATTTGTCTTACTGTTTGAATCGTTACGGTTATTAGTCCCCTACCGACGAAGTCGAAGGGTTTTTAGGTTTGCACTCTGTTTGTCTGTCTGTCTGTCTGTCCGTCAGTCCGGCAAATCAGTTTTCCTACTTTTTTTCTTCATGCTTGAAGATATTGATTTGAAATTTGGTTTATAGTTTTATCATGACAAGTTACAGATCAAGTTCGAAATATGTTCCGATCTAATGATTTTGTGCAGAGTTATGGTCCTTGGACTTAGAAAATTCACTCAAATAATCAGTTTTCCGCACTTTTTTTGTCATGCTTGAAGATATTGATTTAATAATTGGTATATAGTTTTATCATGACACGTTACAGATCAAGTTCGAATTTTGTTTCGGTCTGATGATTTAGTGCAGAGTTTTGGTCCTTGGACTTAGAAAATTCACTCAAATAATCAGTTCTCCGCACTTTTTTGTTATGCTTAAAGATATTGATTTTATAATTAGTATATAGTTTTATCATGACAAGTTACAGATCAAGTACGAATTTTGTTCCGGTCTAATGGTTTTGTATAGAGTTATGGTTCTTGGACTAGAAAATTCATTCAAATAATCAGTTTTCCACACTTTTTTTCGTCATGCTTGAAGATATTGACTTGATATTTGTTATATAGTTTACACCATTAAAAGTTAGCATTTTGTTTCAGTACAATTAATTCTTAACCGGTAGGAGACTATGTATTGCCATGCAATACTCTCAGAATGCTTGTTAATAAATGTATTAATAGTTCGATTGACCTTTAATCTTTAATCTTGTATTTACGGTATTAGTTTAAACAAGTCTATTTGCATATTTTGTTTTCATAGCATCTGTATTGAAATATGCACAAATTAACCCGTGGGTTTACCTTCCTGCGTGTAGTAGTGTAAAATAGGGCTGTATAATTGCAACTAGCCAGTTCGACGACCGTAAGTACAGTTCGGGACAGCATGATTTCTATATCAGCCAGTCCTGGAATAATTAAAATAGATGCAAGGATTAAAATTTTATACAGCAGACGCGGGTTTAGTCTTTAAAAGACTCACCAGTGACGCTCGATGATAAAAAAAGGTTAAAAAAGCCAAATAAGTTCAAAGTTGAAGAGGATTGAGGACCCATAATTTTGAAAAATTTTGCCAAATACAGCAAAATTAATCCATTTCTAGTTTATAAATTTCTTACTGTTTCGAAAAATGCAATGTTTTTTAAACAGTTTATTTATGATTATGACCATACCAAAGATAATTCATGTCAATACAGATGTCTTTTTGAGTCTTGACACAATTACTTACATTGTACAATATGTTCTATGTTTATTTTGTTTTTTCTTGTTTATAATATAAGTGTTCTTTACAGATATATGATACTTTCAAGAAAGATCTGCTTTTTGTTCCGTCATTTTATATGTTCTACTTATTGTACCGTGTTTTAAAATGTTCCACTTTTTATTTCTATATCCAGATAAAATGAGAGCGTGTAAGGGCTTAAAAGTATTTTAGCTCAAGTAAATAATATTTAAATACTTAAAAGTTTCGATTATACGTCGGTGTCATTTTAGAGTGGATACTAAAACTTAAAATTTATTAATAATTCATTTTTATAATCCTTCCGTTAGAAATGATTCAATAACCTTATTTATCTTTTTAATTATTGTACATACCGAAATTCATAAGACAATTATAGAATTGTTCTTAATTGAAAAAAAAATATTTTGAAAGGGGAGATAAATTTGACACACATGAAATATGTGACTAATTCATGGCAGATAACCTAATAGAAAGTAAAATCACAAAAATACTGAACTCCGAGCAAAATTAAAATGGAAAGTCCCTTATCAAATGGCAAAATCAAAAGCTAAAACACATCAAACGAATGGATAACAACTGTCATATTCCTGACTTGGTACAGGCATTTTCTTATGTAGAAAATGGTCAATATTACTGGAAAGAAACTAAATTTATCCACTTCATTGTAAAATTTCCAGCACACTTATTCCTTTACAATGATTAATTCAAAAAACTTCATATAAAACAGCACAAGTCTTATTAGTTCATGTTTGATATAGACAATTAAAGATCTAACAGACATAAATAGAGATGAATAAAGAACAATTTGAATGAGATCTTGCATGCCAACAATTAAAAATATCTCTTGCAAAACATGCATCATCCGCCTCACGAATTCAAAATCCAACAAGGAAAAGTGGAAAGCGACAAAGAAAGAAATACTATATGTGATCGGCCGGTGGGCACCAGAGGTTTCGCAGCATGCTTAAAATGTCACTAGTGACATATCCAAGTATCTGTTGATTATCGCATACAATGTTATCATACCTAAACATATTTGTATTACATGAATAAACCTTGTAATGACTTCCCCGGTAAAATTATTAAACATTATTATACAAAGAACACTAAATTTCTCGAAAATGAGTATTGTACTGAGACCTTAAGTTTAAAAACCCCATTCTATTTATAAACATTAATTTCACGTTTTAAAAACTTTAAAAACATCGATTTATTGATATATATTGATTTTGTGTCGGTCTTGTGCATGCAACATAAATTGATATTAACACCCACTGAGCGTCTGATATGTTAGTCAATATCAATAAAAGTTCAATGTTAATTCATATTATATGTTTGTTAGTATGTTTGTTGCTGTTTTTTTTATGCATGTGTCATATAATATATCTTCGTTTTTCTTTAATATATGCCATTTTTCAAATGAATTCATTACCATTGTGATGAATATGTTTATTTGAAATCATCATAATGTTACTATGTTTTCTGATTATGTAAATATATGATTGATGCTTACAGTTTGCCGATTTTTTAAATTCAATCTGGAATTAATATTGCTTTAATGAAGTGATTCAGTGCATAAAGCATTCTTTAAGTGTGATGGCAGGAAAAATTATTAGTCAATGTCATACAATGTATGCCAATAAAACAAAAATGATAAATAAGGAATGTAATCGTTTTCCGGTCGCACAAAAATAATTTGCAGCTGGTACGCTTTGGAATAAAAAAAGGGAAAGCCAAAAACATCTGAAACCATACCCACCTGAGACCCTGAACAGTAAAGACAAATCCAAAATGTTACGCTTAACCAGAGGGAATTGCATCCCTTACTTTCGTACAATTACAGCATTTAAAAACTGGTGAAATTCACAACATCATTTACGATATATACTATTTTTGCATTGACGATTGCATGCGTTTTTTTTTATTACAAACAACTTTGGAACGCAAAAAAATAAATGCTTTCCCCTAAAAAAGACCAATACATCACAGACAGAGGCGTCCAAAGCCGACTTGCTTTAAATAGTAATTTTTAGTACAATAACGCAATCATGCCAGTATTGCGGATAATTGATGATCTTGAAAGGAGGAGGTAGTAAAAGGCAATTATTTGGCTTAATAAATTGTAAAAAATTCAAAATCATGTTTATTTTATCGATAATATAACAGGTTAATATAATCTTGATACTTTTGTGCGAAAGGTCACTGTGATGTCACACGTTGAAATTAACGTATCTGACATTAAAAAATGTAAACTGACCATTTTTCAAATAGTTTTGGGACAACATTGTTGGGAAAAAAAAATGAGCAACAGCCTTATCCAAAAAGGTATTTTACTTCAAATAACATCTGTGTTAAATACATTGTTTGAAGTTTGAAGCCAAAGTGCAGATATGCAAGACAAAATTTCAAAAATCAATATGCTGATATTTGATAGAAAAATGTCTTATAAACATCTGAAAGTTGTTCTTTTCTGTAGATTCATGATAGTTTTTGATTTTCTAATTGAAGATTACAAGTTCTTTATCCTTTACCATTTAAGGTGGTACCCAACACCTTGACTAATATTAATTTGGCTCGTTTAATTTTCATAAAATTTTTACAAAATGTTTACTTTGACCCTTTGACAAAAAATAAAAAAATTTCAAAAGTTTGAACCAACCACTTTATCAGAAAAATTTCATTGGTTATATAGCAGTTTGACAAACACTAATTTTGATCATTGAGAAGCTTAATATTTCCTTAACAATACAACGTGATTAAAACGTTTAGCTGATTTTTACAGAGTTATCTCCCTGTAGTGTTAGGTACCACCTTAAATGACTGTATCATTTACATTATCTCAGTGCAAAAGTGTCGATTTCTGTACATTTCTCTCATATACTATAGTCTACAAGAGACGATGTTACCTCTAAATGAAAACATCTCTTAACAGATTGGTACTTCCGAAGCGCTTTTTCTGGATGATTGTCATGAGGACCGCTCAAGCCTGAATATGTTAAAGCCAAGGGTGTATAAGTACTAAGAGACTTGAGGAGTTCATGACAAGGAAATGTAAAGAATAGATAATTCTCTATAAACTCAACATTGCCCGATGTGATGATTAAAGCACGTATTTAGTAAACATACATTTTGTATCTTCTACTTCAGAGACCAAAACTTTGTGATAAAAAGTATTTCAAATGTATGAATACATCTTAAACTAGACAAAAACACAAAATTTAAAATGGTCTATGATCAGGTTTGCTGGCATCATCCTTATTTACATGTAGTAAAATTACATAACTTATGATCTGCTGAAGTACCATTTATCATCACTCAAGTTTTGTTTTTGGAAGAAAAAAAGATTGTGAAGTTCAAACATTTTACATTAACGTTTTCTTGTAGAAAAGAAAATGATTCAATAATTTTAGCTTTGTGTATGAATGTGAGCAAAGTTGTCAAAATGGTATTGCTTACATATTTGTTGTGCTTTCACGTGTTTTAAAATTATTTAATTACCGGTATGTTGTTGAAGAGTTACGTGAATATTTAGTTGAGACAAATATTTTCTTTTTTTTTCTTTAGGTAAAGATAACAAAACCTTGTTTAACCCCATTACATGTTTATTCGCCATTCTTATTTCAGAATCCTAACAAGTGATTGTCTTTGTAGTATTGTAAGAAGCGTTTTTTTTAGTCAATGACTTGTTTTTCACTTCTTTGTTGAACTAAAATGTAGATTCTTGGATGTATATTGGCGTTTAAGTCGTTTCCTGGCTGTCTCATTGGCATGTATAAAGTTCCTTGTTTTTTTTGTTGTTTTATTTTGTATGTAATCGTTACCTTGAAGCACTATTGTTGATACACGTAACAGTCATATTATGTATTAACCACGCAGCTAACTTAGTAAAAAATATCTATTATAAGAATACGAAAGTAATGCACAAACGACGCATCAAATTCAACGAACAAAATTTCTTTTGTAAACATTTTTTTAAATGGCTTAGGTACAATTATTTTAAAGGGAAACCAGATGGGAATACAGAACAGCTCTGCGACGAGTATATCTCTTCAGATGTGTCGATCATGTGTACGGATGATGGAAATGACGCAATTCCTCCGAACTTGATTGTGTCTAGTAAAAACGAAGGACAACAAAATAATCAGTCAAGAACCATAGGACAAGCTATGTCAACAGAAACATCTTCGGAGGCGAATGGAAATGAAGTATATCCATACATTTCTGAAAAGTATGGTTTATCTCGAGGAATAGGTTATTCTGACAATGCTGTAAGAAGAGAATTTGGCGTATCAATCAATCAAAACAGTGAATCACAAGGTACGGGAACTCACGAGTCATCACTAATGAATGGAAGGCAAATGTTCCCACCAACTTATACGAGAGAAATATCAGTCGACGGTAATACAAACATTACTGATAGTTTAAACCTTCTCTCTCTAGAATCCGAAGAGCAAATGCCATATTTCTCTGGTATAACTCAAAATCCACGTAATCATCTACCTTCTTTAAGCCACCAACCGATGACAAAACAAAACGAATCACTAGGAAGTAACCCAGAACAATTAACTTTTAAATACGACGGAAGACTGATGAAAATGAAATATCCAAATTACGAGCTACTGCAAAAAAGGAGAGATTCTTTTTTTGACTGGCCAGCAAACAGGGATTTCCTTCATCCTTATGATCTCGCTGAATGCGGATTTTTCTTCACCCGTGAGTATTCCTATTTTACAACGTACAATGCTCCCATGAAAATAGTAATATCGATAGTCTTGATACTTGCAAAAACTCTATTCTTATATTAATTCTGAAAAATGAATGAACTTTTAATCTTGAATTAATTTAGTATACATAGTATTTCATCAAACACATTTGGAATACAACAGAAACAATATAAACTCTGCAGCTTTGCAGAAATATACATATATACAAATCTTTCTTATACATGTTATAATTATACAGTTGGAAACAAGCCGCTTTTTGCAGTTAAAATGCTTTTAAATTGCACAAAAATCATAAGTACATAAGAAGTACAAATATAATGCATTCAACACAAAGAAATCATATAATAAATGTATATAGAGGCTATATTGTTTATCTACTTTTAATATGATACATTATCTATATGATCTATATGACATTAGAAGAATAGCTGGTAACAGTTGTCTTGAAAAGCAACATTTTACACCGAGTATCGACTCGATTTGATTGATATACAGTGTACATGTATGCCTAACCAGTGACTATTATTTCAATAATTGTTGTCTCTGTAACTTTTAATTTCAGTTTCAAAACTTTATAGATTTTACGCTGTGTTTACATTGATAACCATATGTTTATATTTATATCGGTTGATCAATCGATCGATGGAATTTGTAAGGTTGCATATATTAGTTTCGTATTGTTCTTATTTTGAAGATTTTGAAGACTGTGTACGATGTTTTCAGTGTGGAATTGGTAAGTAATGAACGACCGGACACAACTGTTGTCTGAAACATGAACCATGCAATTGTAAAGAATACAAAAGTTTAAAGAAAATAAATTCAAGAAATATACTAAAATTTTAAACAACAATTTTCATATGTGGTTGACCGTGTAGTACTAGTTGTTATAAATACATGTTTAGCGTATTGGGTTTTGAAATGAGTAGAACAATGCTATCAGAAAAAAAAACAGACTAAGATATCCGTAAAAACTTCATTTGACGAACACTTTCATGTACGGTCTCATCTTAAATTTTTAACTACTGCTATTTGAATAAGAATGAATGGTCTTTAATACTCAAATTATCGACTATGCAAGAAATGCGATGGACAGTCCGAGTCTTTTGCAATATCATTTCATACCGCTGTGCTTTAGATATGAAAGGCAAAATTATGCTTCATCGGCTTTTGATATAGCTTTTTTGTTTTTGGTTTTGAAAGACAATCACATCTAAAATCTATTACACATATCCATGCATTTTAAGTTACCTAGCAAACAATCCTTCAAGTCCGGTCAGAACAAATTAAAAAGTCAAAACAATCATACCTTCCCCTTTCGATAAACCTGATTTCTTCCATTAGAAATCCCTAGTTAATGTTACAAGTACTTAACAAACCTTTAAAGTTTATAACATCAGTGTACCAAAAATGATGTTTGTGTAAGGATTTTGCATTTGTAAAAGAAACAAATACGCCTATGAAGTATAGTACACGTAGAATTAAAAAGAAATCGGATATGTTATTTTCCGTAAAATTATTTGTATTTAGACATTATTTAGATGGCAACCTATAGTCCTAATATTCAATTTCTGAACATATAACTGATAAAAGAAACGCGAAAAATACCAAAGGGACATTCAAAGTCTAAGTCAAAAATAAGAAAACAACGCCATGGCCCCCCAAAAAAAGGAAAAAAAGACCAAAAGACTAACAACAGTACACAAAACACAACATAGAAAACTATGAGACCGACCAACACTAAGTTGTTGAAACGTTGAAAATATGTTAGTATTACATTTCCTGATATCGATTAATCTGCATGACTTTTTGTGTATATTTAACAAAACTGATTTTTATTCTGTTAAAGGTTTAAGGAACTGGGAAGACAATGATAATGTGTGGGTCGAACATGCACGATGGTCACGAAAATGCCAGTACCTCACTATACGGAAAGGAAAAGAATTCATTGATACCGTTGTACAAATGTTAGGACTAAACACCGTAAGTTTCATTTTCTAATTTATATTAAAGGGGCACTAGCTGGCAAATTCATGTTCACCGATTTGACTCAAATTCTCATATTTGATTAACAACATACTAAAACGTGTATTCAAATTATAATAAGTCTGAAATAAACAGTTAACACTGCATGTACTTGATAATATATATCAGAATTTCGTGTGTATGTTAGTCTAGACGCCGTCTTATTAACTTTCGAGATGACCACCGGAGATTGCCGATTGTCATATAACCCGATATAAACATAAACAAAGATATAAATAAATAGCCACCTCGTGTAATTGGATTTGTCTATGTCTGTTTGATTTCATGTTATAGTTTAAATAAAAAGATAATTATCGTTTTTACCTGTATAGGAATGATTTTTTTTGTGGATCGAATTAGTCAACGAATTAGTCACTTTCAATGTTGACATTCTTTTCCTTTAAAAGGCTGACCACGATTTCTGCATGCGTAACAAATCTTTAGCTATTGGGTTAAATTTAAGGTCACATGAATACGGATTTAATGAGGTCGAATTATTCACCTGCAAGTGAATAATTCATCAGCAATATTTCTTTGCTTATTTTGACAAAATTGAACCAAATTGGTTGCTAAAAACGAATTATTATTTCATCATTTCACATATATTAATGATTGAACCAAACAAAATCATATATAATTTTTTTTTCATATCTCGTAGCTAGTGCCCCTTTAAGTACTATTCAATAGAATATATATGCGATTAAAAAGTTAAGTATACTAAAGATGAGTTTAAGATTGGAAGGCAAGTTTAGATTGACAATGTTCTGACAAAATGTTTACTGTGTTTGTCCAAAAAAGCCATGATTGCATGAGTGCTCACCACCAAACATAATTAATCTTGGATAAATTTTACAAGTACTTCCCAAAATTGCCCCAATGTAGCAAACGTATCATAGGTTCTGATAAACGGAATGTTTCACAAACGTTTTAAGAGAATCTGATCAGAAATGAATGTGCCATCCTAGCGAACATAATTATATTTTCCCAAGATTCCTTCTATAAAAAGGCTTCCCCTTTTCAGGTTTACTTGACAAATTTGAAAAAGTCCTGATGATTATTTTAGATTCCTGTTAAAACTTTTCCGAAACATATAACTCTGAACTTAGACAAAACCTCAAGTTATATTCGAAAGTCGAATTGCCGTGTTTCAAAAAGATCGATTTGATACAGTCTGTCTTTTGAATAAATCAGATATCGTCTCAAATTTGAACAAGCTCGTATGCCATCATGGCTATTGTAAAAATGTTAAGCTGCTATGAACCACAAATAAATATGTAACCAAAAAAGTTACACCATAACCTGAAATAGCCTAAAATTTAAGTAAGAAGCGATTATGATAAAAAAAAAGCATTCAACAAATATTAATAATGTGCGGAGAAACCACAGTTTTAACATGTCATGACTTACCATCTCAACCAACCACGCCGATATATATATATATATTCTATCTTCTCTTCAATGTTGATATAACATGGTTGAGCCCTGGCCAATGTTAAATACAAACAATATTGGTGGAAAGCTGCATGAAGTCGGCATTTTTCATCATTTTTGTGAAATAATCACAATTAAAGACGCAGTTATTACGTCATTAGGTGTTAAAATTTGTGAAACTCATTAAGATATCTTAACTTGATGTAACTGTGTAAAGCATAAATCTATAATCAATGATAACATAAACATATCTGAAGTCATGCTGACAATTTTATATTCTTATGCTAAAATTGGCCATAATGGAGCTTCCTCCTTTAAATTTCTTCTTTGTGGGAAGTACTGCTATTATAAATTGTGATGAATTCAATTGTGCTCGATCCATGTCGATGTTAGTTCCAAATAACCAATTATTTTGCCCTTATGACATCATATCGTTCTTAACAACCATGGTGGACACAATAAGATTCTCGTTTTGTCAGCATGAAGCTAAATGGCTCAGAAGTATATTTTAACAGAAAAAAATAAATGAAAAAGACGACACTAATACAGTAAACTAATATTGTTTTATTTCAGAGAATTTCAATGTAGTTCTTGAACTTCGTAGTCCCGAAAGAAAAATGTCAGTCTCATTCAAATTTGTCATGTGATACAAAGATTATAACATGTCCTTTTCAATATCGGTTCATGTTTACCTCTGGACCCACGGTACGAACGGTACACTGATAAAGGAGTCTATGAATGATAATGCTTGGGACGATGTGGAGAGGGACACGTTATAATCCATAATTACAAATGTTACAGTATTAAGCAAATAATGTCGATTTTCTATCCCAATAGCATTTGTGTGTTTATTTTAAAATGAACATTCAAAACTGGTAAAGACATCGGCAGTCCTTTGCAACAAAAAATCCATATGCTGTTTTCCAAATATTACTTTTATTCTTTTTCAGGACGGAGAAAACATGCAAAGTGAACCACTCCAACTAGAACCAACAGGTACTTATATGTTTTACATCAACAATGCACAATATATGTGGTACCCACTTTATGAATAGCTTCATTCACGAAAATGTATTGCGATGTTACTCCAATTCGCCCTTCAAAACCGAAATCTAATGCATTCTAATGTGTATTATTATTTTCATTTTTGTTTCTGAAGATTGTACTGCATTTCATTGGTTACTTGTTATTCTGAAGGTAATTGAATAAACAGTTCTATAAGTTCATAAGATAGATGGAATTTTCTTAGTGTTCCTTTTTGAACGGTTATCCGATGAAACATAAGCTTTTACATTCGTTGGATCATGACCTAAAATGTTTTTAAAGGGGACACAACTAAATTTATTCTAAATGAATATTGTGTACTGAACGTACAATCTGTGGTATACGGGAGGTAACTTTTGATACTAATTTCATATTCAAAGCATAGGTTTCATATAAGACAACTAATGCTAGCAAAGCACAAAAGGGAGATTATAAAAAAAATCTACGTTTTTGCAACATTTGTTAACCTATGTTTAACCAAAAAATAGTTTATTAAGAAAATTTGAGATTTTTCTCAATCTATTAGGCATGTAAATGCCTGTTAAATTAAAAGACGATTTGAACGGGAAAGCATAACTCGGCGATATCTAATTATACATTATGATTTGACTTTAAATATATGTTACCCTTTTCATTTCTATAAGTCATTATTGCCACAACTCTGTTTGTAGTCAAAGTCAGTTATTAACTTACTACTGATAAGAGAGCATGGCAATCCGGAACTGGCCGTCAACGGTAACAAACTAATCTAACAAAAGTATTCCCTCTTTGCAAATAAGTGATAATTTAAAATGCTAGACGATGATGCTGATTGCTGCTGGTGCTGACAATGATGATACAGTAGAATCATTTTATATTTGTAGACATAACACAATCTACTCGAAATCCACTTGAGCATGATGCTGCACAGTATGTTCTATCAGAAAAGATATTTGATGATGTGGAACTCGTTAGAGTATGCATAATATCGCTAATAGAAACAACAGGTATTTTAGTGCAAAGAAATACAAATAATGTAATCAATTTACATGTCGACATATTTACCTGCTCTTAATTCTTAGTGGATGTTGCATCATGTTCCTCTTCAGAAATTGATACATATTGACCAAATACATGACTCGAATTATTGTATATTATTATAAGTATAAGTGAGATTTTTTTCTAGACAGGAATGTTCCTTTCATGGCCTTGTTAGTGTGTAATTGCCTTGCACAATGCAAACATTGTTAAATTGGATAGTGTAAATCTTGGGTAGAAATGAATATCGCAGAAAAAAACTTAAACACTTTTCGAAATACGGTGCACTCCAAATTCAAAAAGCACAACCCCGTCAACGTATTTGAAGAACAGTACATCTGAATTTCAAAATATTTTTCGTCTTATAAAATTAACATAGTAAAAGACGCTATAGCTAACCAATAGCAGTAAACACACTGCAAAGGAGAATAGGCAATAAAGAATACGAAACAGTTAACAAACAAATTAAAAGTCATATTTTAAAGTTTTGAATATATATTTATTCATTTTAATTAATGATTATAAATTGTTACTATCCCAAAACGTAAATACTTCGATAGAGAAAATGTCAATGAAATGTATAGATTGAGAGGTTTTAGTAATACAATATAATATCCAATTAAGTAGGCGTGGGCATTCGAAAACGTACATGTAAAATAATAAAAAAATATTTTAGGTTGGGATTCAATTACGATTGAACTTCTTGTCACCTCCATGCTTGAGATGAGTGCAACTGAATTAGCTTCTCCGAACGACAATAAAGCGACCAATAGTCAATCTAATGGATCTAAACCTTGCATGGATTGTCCTGTTGAAACTGGAAATCCTACATCACGTGGAACGGAAATCAAATCATCAACTACAGAGTCAATAGCAACAGTTGTTGAAATTGACCAGTCAAAGAAAGGTATGAATCAACTATGTTAGCAAATATAAATATCATTATGATTAATTCATGATTTATGTGTGGTTTTTAATTTTCTATGCATGTTCTATTTTTTATTTTAATTGTGTTCTATCTTTATAAATAAAAACAAAATTATTCACTGACCCTTTCACCTAACCGGATATAACATCGTAATATAACATTTATAAATTTTCTGTTTAAGCTGAGGATGATCCCGAAGAACTACAAAAAGAGATAGAAAAAATGAAAGATCTTTATACCTGCAAAATATGTTTAGACGAAAAAGTAGGTGTAACATTCCTCCCGTGTGGTCATTTGGTGACATGCTCACAGTGCTCACCCAAATTAAGAAGGTGTCCTCTTTGTAGAACATTCATTCGAAGTACAATTCAAACGAAAATATAACATCTTTATGTTTGTGTTTAAACCCAATATCTCTATTACAATAAAAGCAATTACCACAAATGGAAGTTTCTTATGTGTATGATGATATGCACTGAAGTGTGCCAAGAATGTCTCCATGATGCACGTCAGGGAACAATTATCAACATGTGAATTGGACAATGATGATATTTTTTATCGCTCGCATTTCATTTTGCTACAGAAATGAACTCATCAAACAATAATTGAAATTTATTACGCTTTACATGACACTTTTTTGTTAACTTTACATTGCCGTCCGCTAAGAATGACGAAAATTAACGGTGCTTAACTTCTGTTTTAGAACGAGTCAAAAACATACCATTAACACAACGTTGTTATGTAACATTGATGTTTGCCAATCTAAAATAAATATGAAATTGAATGGAAGAGCTTACCACTTGAAATGAATACGTCAATAGCATGTCTTATGGCAGAACAAAGTTAAGATTTTCTTATTTCACTAATGACAGCTAGTAATTTTAACACAAGTAAGCTGTTAACCTATGTACATATTTATATGATTATGGAAATCAGGATATAACCAATGTTTGAAATTGTTTTCTGTCTCTAGCAATGATATATAAAAAGGTTTTTGAAATAAATAAAAACAAACTATATGGTCTTAGTTTATTTGCAATTAAATTGTAGCTTCAAACTGTGTACTTAAAGTAGAAAGAGCAATTTCCTTATTCTTGTGGAACATGGCTCAGTTAGATTTTTAAACAGCTTTGTTAAAAGCGAGCAAGTTTTCGTAAGTCTCGTACTGATTAAAAGACAAACAATACAAATGCAACAACTAAATATACGAAAGAAACAAATCCGCAAAACACCAGAAAGAATTTACCGATATATATTTTAGTAGTTCATGGCGACTCCGTTTTATGGTTTGCTCCTTACACATAAACTGCTTTAACAGAGTTTATGAAGAAGAAATGAAATTGCCACTACATATTAAGTTTTATGGTCACCATCACAGAGTTGGTTGACCGATACCATGTGTCGGTGTCGCAACTCACTAGTGACATGTTTCGCAGTATTAGATCTTTAAATTCAAGTATAGTCACTTGATCTGTACTTTTACCATCTTTTTCCGATTATGAAATTTCTACTGAGTGTAAAATTGCAAGAATATGAATATAAACTGTTGACGCATTCGGTTTCTGAAGCTTCTTTTTGGCGTTTATGCGTTTCCCTCGGCATTTGTTTCCTTGATTATATACAGGTGAATTAATCCGTCCTTGAAATTAGGCATCTAACAATAGTATCACAATGTTTAAAAATTTTGGCTGTGCGACTGATGATCGATAGCCATAGAAAAATCCGTGAAATATACATGTGTTTAAATAAATGAGCAGTTGTATAAATAAATTAAAATAATATATTTCTGAATTAGTATGTATAATTACTACTTGAATATAGTTAGAAAATATGAATCATATTTGTATATATATTTATAACTACTGACCATCAGATATATACCTCTAATATAAATGCTACAAGGACAACATATTCAGGTGTCGTTATAATTGAACCATTATTATTGATTGTGGCGCGGACTCTGTAATTTTACAAAACTAATCAAAGCTGCTTTATTTAATGCCGTTGAACGAGCCTTCAAACTTCAAAGTCAATGCTCTGCCGGTCAATGTATTAATACATCTTTTGAGACTCATTGAAAAAAACAATGTATTTGAATTTGATGGGAAATTTTATAAACAAAAAAAAAATTAAAAAGGTACGACATTTATTGGTACAGTCCCTTCACCGGAAATCTGTGACATTCTGATGTTTGAAATAATGAATTTAATAATTTTTGCATTTCAACATAAAGACAAAATATTCTATCATGGCAGATATAGGGACGCTGGATTCATAATATATGATGCATTGAACATCAGATAAAATTACAGAATTTTTTCGTCTTGCAATACAAATAAGTATAACTCCTTATTAAAGCTCACCAATGAAATCTCAAACGATAAAATGTCGTTCTTAGATATTGATGTAATTAAAGGTCAAAGATTTACAACACATGGCATTCTTGACATTGAAAAACATTTTAGAGAAACAAATTCTTATCTCTATCTGCATAGAAATAGCTGTCACTAACAGCATGTATTCCGATTTATAAAAGGTGAAGCAATATGGCAGATTAGAAACACAAGTTATCAAAACAAATCAATAAAAAAATCTAACTAATTTCATAGTGAAATTATCAACTATGAAATTATCAAATAGGGGTTATGACAACGTCGAAATAGATGATAGTATTACTGATGATTCATCAATTGACCGTACTGAATTATTACAGCAAAACTAATCGAAGGAAAAATAACATATCTCTTTAGTTTTAATAACTAAAAATGCTAAATATAACCCATATATAATTAAAAAAAAAACGTATCATGAAACACTGGCATTTATTACAGTTTAACGAAGATTGTGTACAAATATTCAATGCTGTACCAATAGTAGCGTATAGCAAATGAAATTGTAAGGAGAAATGCTTAGTAGATCAAAGTTAAAGACTTTAACAAAAAATTGAAAGTTTGACCCCTGATGATGGCGGTTCTGTCATAATAACGAGATCTATTGATGAAGAACTGAAATATAAATATATCAATATATACATAAAGAATTTTCATATTTAATTATATTAAGATAATGCATCTTAAGATGACCATCCCAAACTTTTTTTATCTGCCGAAACACTAAAATAGTGTCGGGTCATTACAGGCAATATGTGATGCGTGGTTGCATGAGTGTTTTATAATAACAAAATATGTCCGTATGCATTTCCTGTCATGCTTCAAAAGATGGTAATAATATTATAATCCTATCGTAACTGATAACTCGTTAGTCTGGGAGAACATGATTTATTCATTAATTGTAATTGGCTTTGAACTAGTTTTCAGTATCTGCGAATACTCGTATTTAGGTGCTTTGTGTCTATTGCTTGACATTAATTTTTTTGTGTACCTCCTACCGATCTTAAGTTAGGCAAATTGTAAATGGTTTTTAAAGTTTGTTCTTATGGTGTGCTGCTACACCACTGTCCCAAGTTAGGAGAGGGTTGAGTGCTCACAAACATGTTTAACCCCGCCACATTGCTTGTCAAAGTCATGAGCCTGTAGGTCAGTGGTTGTCGTTGGTTCATTTCGGGCATATTTATTTTTCGTAAATTGTTTTGTTATAAATTAACCCGTTAGTTTTCTCATTTTAATTGTTTCACATATTTCATGTCGTAGCCTTTTATAGCCGAATTTACGGTATGGGTTTTTCTAATTGTTGAAGCCCTACGGTGGCCATAATTGCTTGCATCCACTACATTTGAACTCTGGTAGATAGTTATTTTATTGACAATCATACCACGTCCCCTTATTATTATATTTATGGGTATAAAAGTGACATGGGCCTTCGACAAATTTAAAATTCTTAACATCTCTAGTAGGTTGTTATAGGAGAAATAAAAGATGTGAATAAAATTTTAACAAATAAAAAAAAAAATAGATTTTCCTGAAGTGGGAGTTGAATTGCAATGTATGTAATGTGACCATTAATTTTATAGAAAAATCCAGAAGATATAAAAAACACTATATAATATAAGAAGATGTGGTATGAGTGCCAATGAGACAACTCTCTCATCCAAGTCAGAATTTGTAAAAGTAAACTATTACAGGTTTCTAAAGAAAAGATTCTTTCTGTAATACAATTACGAATACATGTGATTGCAATAGCTGACATGGCTGAGATTGGAGTTCAATGACTGCTTCTTTTGCATGGAACACATAAGACAACAGAAACAAATGTCATATTGGGCATAAGATGTATTATGTCTAAACACAAGTATTCCTCTAAATATAATAAAAGAAGATGTGGTTTTATTGCCAATGAGACAACTATTCACAAGAGACCAAATGACACAGAAATTAAAATCTATAGGTCATCGAACGGTCTTCAACAATGAGCAAAGCCCATACAGCATAGTCAGCTATAGAAGGCACCGAAATGACAAATGTAAAACAATTCAAACGAGAAAACTAACAGTCTAATTTACGTACAAAAAAGGTAACGAAAAACAAATATGTAACACATCATCAAACGACAACCACTGAATTACAGGCTCCTGACTTGGGACAGGCACAGATATATACAGAATGTGGCGGGGTTAAACATGTTAGCGGGTTCCAACCCTCCTTCTAACCTGTGACAGCGGTGTTACGGTACATCATGAGAACGAACTATAAAAAACAGTTGAAAAAGGCTAAATTCATCAGATGAATATAAATAGAAATACATCTAGCAAAAACACAGAGTGGACGTGGCTGGGTACTTGTACATTCCAACAACATAATTCACTAAGTACAGATTGGAGAGTACTCGCAGTTACTGGCAGCTAGTTCAAAGTCAATAACAACTAATAAAAAAATCATGCATCTAAGACTGAATTAATTGGTATCTTATCCATGATTCTGTAAAGAATTCATTGCAGCCTTAATCCCAATTTTTAAAAGTGGGTTTGCCTTCACTTTTTTCCCAAAATTCTCTAAATCACGAATTAAACAATGAGGAAATTTGAGCCATGAGAAACACATGAAATCAGAATGTACATTCTCAATAGGGTAAAAGGTTAAAAAGATAAAACACATTTCGTGCTCTGTTCCTTGTCCAAACGATGTTGTTTCGTTCCTAGAAGTCGTGTCATAAGTACAGGTAACTCGTAAGTCATCACCAGGTTGTACTTCTATTGGTGGATTGTGTCTGAAATAAAACCACAGATATCCGTTGAAAGCATTGTTATTGAGAGTTATAAGAGTATCTATGCATATATCTTTAGTTTTTGCTTTCCAAATGTGTGAGTCTGTTATGAATGTCCTTTAGGTACTTTCACATTTTTTTTTTATTTTGAAAAAGATACATGCAGTAATGCGTTTTAAACCATGAATTTCAGTATGTTTTAGTTTGAATTACTACTTTGTTACTCTACAACTGAAACCATCTGACCAGAAAATTCAAAGTTTTTGCAATGCCTATTGAGTTATTAATTCTACATTGGCTAGATGTATAGGGGAGGGTTGAGATCTCACAAAACATGTTTAACCCCAGCGCATTTTTGCTCCTGTCCCAAGTCAGCAGCCTCATGCCTTTGTTAGTCTTGTATGTTTTTTTTAATTTTAGTTTATTTATATGTTTTGGAGTTTGGTATGACGTCCATTTTCACCGAACTAGTACACATTTTTATTTAGGGGCAAACTGAGGCCTACATCCGGGTGCAGGACTTTCTTGCTGCGTTGAAGACTTATTGGTGGCCTTCAACTGTTATCTGCTCTTTGGTAGGGTTGTTGTCTCTTTGACACATTCCCCATTTCCATTCTCAATTTAATGTGCAAGGGAGAATTGACTTTACATGGGCTTAGATATTTTGTTTATGACATGTTGATCACATTGCTTACCGTATGTTCAAACGCACTAATTTAGTTTTCAAAATAGGCTTTAAGCTTTTCGGGTGGTCAAAGTTAATAAAAAAATGGGCATCGATCGAATCAATCGAATTTGGTGCATTTTCTTTTCAAATACTTCACAAAAACAAAAAAGTATGGAGACATCATCAATTGTTGTCATTGTCTATAGATTTTTTTTTTTGTCCTTCAAGTTCATGGAATAAAATATTCCTGATATGTGTTTGGTTGTCTCTGTTTAATTCAAAACTCGAGACCGTACGTATGCCGTCAATTTCATGAATGCCGACGAGAGCAGGAACGATAACTCGTGGCGTAAAGTCATTCGGTATCGTGTAACCTTAACTAGACCTATGGTATAAATATTTTTCTATGACTAGATAGATGTTGACATGCACGTTTGATGTCTTACTTTATTCCTTAATATGTTGTTTGCATGATGTTTCCTTGAACACTAACCCATCAACCGAAAATTAAAACATAAACTTCATCAATGGTTAAGAACATTACAGAAAACTGTGCCATGTTAACTAAATCCGTATCAAACATTTATTTCTGAAGACTGTTATTGCATAATTGAAAATAATACTTACTTTTTTATGTGTTGTCTGTCGAATGAATAATTATCTTGATCTGAGAGTATATTGATTAAAGAACCATTCCGATATTGTTCTACTCTTTGTTTTCGACCTGTGAATGTAGAGCCTGATTGTTATGTGTATGCTATTAATAAACCAATTGTGAACAATATCATTAAAATATTTTCTCGTTTGGCTTAAAGACTCATCTATATAGGTTTTCAACTATAGTTTATCACCTTTGCACATTCTTTTGAAGAGTCCAGTAGGTGGCCTACTTCAAGGCAAAATGCCGACCCCTATTCTGCGAACTCACATTTCCCAGTGGCAGTCGGAATTTCCACCTACCTCAGTCGTAAAATCTATTGTTGCATTTATTGTTAATTTGCTCTCCTCCTGTATATGCATGAACTACTTGGCATTAGACATTAAAAAAACACAAGGAATTAATCTATGTTAGTGTGTATAAGGAACACTGGCACTTTGCAACCAAACGATATTTTCTTCAAACGTTTATATTGACGCATTCAAACAAATGAATGCGAGACAACTCGGCCCGGAGACAAGTCGGACCGAGTACAATCGGACCGACAAATAAGACAACTCGGGCCGTCTACAAGGACAGCTCAGACAAAGTATTAAAAGAGGATAACAAATAACTAAATGTTATATTTTGTCTCGCACCCAAACAAACGACTTGACAACCATGATCCAATTATCATCTTTCTTTCTTGTAAAATAAAGACTATCCTAATATCAAAAGAGATTCAATAAGAAAACGCAAATAAATCCCCCAATCTAATAAAGAATTGTTTATAATTAAATATTCTATACAGAAAATGTGTTCAAACCATGTTTTTCTGTCCACTCTTTTGGTCTCGAGCATACACGACGACCGTTATTATATGCAAAAACACTTAGATTGTCTTGCACACTGGGGGTGTATGTCTTGCCTCTAAACTGGTTTCGGTTTCTGATAGCATAAATGATCAAATTTCATTGTGAAAGAATTCTTTGATATTCGAATTTAAAACAGTATGTTCATACTCACCTAAGGAATGCATGTGATTCCCTGAAGAATGGATGTATATTGGTCCTTTGAATTCACGTTTCGTGCATTGTCCAGTACATGTCCCTTCAACTTTGACCTCAGATTGTCCTGGTGCCAAATGGAACATAGTCTGACCGACAGTTAAGACGGCAGCATTATATGGTCGCAGTGCTGGAGTGTAATACAAAGTCATTCCTGAACTGTCTGTCTGGGCTACATTATTTTCAGAGTTTTGCCAGTGAATCTGGAAAATTAATTGTTTGTAAATACTAATACAACAATTATATAACAAAAGATTGAGTAGAGGTAAATTATTTTGAAATACATGCATTCTTGTCACGGTTGCCCCACAATGGCTCACCGAAGATTTTCACGTGATAGAAATCCATTGAATCCAGATCAAGCTGGATTTCATGCTATAGTTGTTGGAAAAAAACTTTAATTTAGCAAGAAATTAGAATACGATGTAAACTTTTTACGGACAACGAAAAAACTAAACACAATGTTAATGTACATTAGATGAAAATCTAAATCTAGTATGTGCATTTTGTTTATTTTGGGATTTGTTAAGTCCTTTTGGGTTTACATTGTTATCCGATATCGCTACATGCGTTTCTAAACGGTTTCTAAAAGTGGTACATAACACTACAGGGAGATAACTCTGTAAAAATCAGCTGAACGTTTTGATCAGGTTCTATTGTTAATGAAATAGAAAGCTTCTTAATGATCAAAATAAGTGTTTTTCAAAGTGCTATATATCCAATGAAATTTTTCCGATAAAGTGTGTGGTTCAATTTTTTTTGATTTTTTTTATATTTTTGTCCAAGGATTAAAATCAACATTTTGTCAAAATTTTATGAAAATTAAACGAGCTAAATTAATTTTAGTCAAGGTGTTTGGTACCACCTTAAAATAAGAATTGACATTAAAGTAAATAGCTGACCTGTAACATAAACCTGGTAAAGCCGTGTTTACCAATTGGGATACCAAATTGATCAGGAAAACATTCACCTTTGACACCAAAAGTCCAGAATGCCACCATACGACAATACGAAGGTCCTTCAGTAGAATCACAAGTACGTGCCTCGTTCACTCTGGGCTGATTCTCTGTATGTAAAAGCAATGTGTGAATAATGGAACTCAAAATGAGTATTAACGATCAAGATAAAATTTTATAAATCATATATGCATGTGCATTAAGTTTTATTTTGGTTTTTCGGATTGCCAAACATTTGACATTCCCGATGGAGGTAACTTTAGAAAAACTAAGACTGAATGAAATGTTATATTTGATTAATTACTACAGTAAATAATAACCGTATTTGAATAGTTTCAACCGTCAATTTTGGATTTTACTGATGCAAATGCGGTTTAACTGGCGACGCGGCTCGTCAATTGTTTATCATAGCATTGAGATATTTTTTTATGCAATCTATACCTCAAATACGGGTTCAATTTAAGGGTATTGTCATCAAAAGAAATTTATTGAGATTTATAATCATAAAAGTTTTTACACATACATTTGGTTTCGATGATTTTTGCTTTGCTTATTATCTGTTTTTTTCATCGCACAAGGTGTAAATAAAAAGTACAGACCTACAGCATCGCATCCAAAAAGTATAATATGATGAACAACACGTCTATGTCAATGAAAGGTTTAACTGCAATCACGTGATAATCTCCATCAAATGGTACAGTTAGGTGTGTACATATGTATCTACTTCCTTTGTGTTGCACTTTACTTTCTGGAATTCTCAATGTCAACTCTTTAACATCTGAAACAAGACATATGAAATATGATATTCTAATCGGTAGATATCGTAAATGCAACTGTATACACTCATAAAGCTATTGGGACTACTGATCTGATTATCAAGGGTCTGGATGGTGGGTCCTTCAATTCTGTGTTATGTTTAATTTTTTAATCCTTTTTCTCTATACTTTATATTTGTTTTCCATTATTCTCAATTCTTTTTATTTTTGCACCTCATTATTCTCTATTCTTTAATCATTTTTTTGCCCATTTTGATTTTCTCTATTCTTAATTTTTTGGCTCATTTTTCTGTAGCATTTGCCTATTATTCTCTATTCTGTAAACCCCATCCAAACCCTAATTATTGGCTCAATTCTTGATCATTCTTTAAAATAAATGGTACTATTATCAAAATATCGGTTGTGTCACCATTTTTTTGTGGAAAAGAACAGAAAAAAAATCGCAAAAAAGCAAAATAATATCTTAGTACGTATATTTAAACCAAATGATTTCATACTAACCAGGATCGTCTTGGATTGAAGGACAATGGAAATTATTGTCATCACATTTCAACCATTTATTCTTCTTTCTACAGTGTTCGCTTTCTGTTGGTTCACAAATGCCTAAAATGACAAATATAATCAGTTAACACACTATACGAAAATGCACAACTGTCCTGAATAGACCCAATTACAAATTTGCCAGACAAGTGTAGAATATGAACTTTATGATCTTGCACATAAGCTATTATTCACCAGATAGACCACAACCTTTCACATTACTTGATTTATACACTACCTTGCAAATGTGCAGGTATATTATTTTCAGGTAACAGGTACATGAATGGGCGATCTCCAGGGGCGTTTCTAGGATATTTGAAAGAGGGGGCCGTATATTGAAATCGTTCGCCGTTCGAAGCGAGGCAAAAATTTTTTGGACCTTTTTTTTGCAACAAAACATAAAATAATTGTGAAATGCATAAATTGCCATATTCATTAAAATATTAGCAGATTACGATAGTTTTTTTCTTTTTTTTTTTGGAAAAGGGGGGGCGTACGCCCATTACGCCCTCACCTGGACCCGCCCCTGATATTCTCTCTGATTTTTATATACATATGCTACCTTAAGGATGTACTTAGGTGAAATTTAAAAAATCAAGAATTTAAAATTGATACTATAAGTTAGAAGAACATTAGTTAAGGAACAAAATAAGCTAAAAATATGGATAGGTTATATGGAGCTCCTTTTCGAGATATTTTATTTTTTTTAAAATGGCGGGAAAAGGCTGATTCGGACTTTTACCTTTAAGTTATATTTGCATTGGTATTATTTGGGTCTCAAATCGAAAGAAAAGAAATCTAGAATCCACTTAAGTTTTGGTAAATGGCTTTTTTTAGAGCTATTGAAGTCTTATATGAAAAGAAAAATTGGTGTTATGGGGCAAAATATTTTACCCTCTATTGAAAGAAAAAAACCAAGGAGTCCGAACGTCTGACACAAATTCCTAAACCTCAGCTAAGTACATCTTTAAATACAGTTCACACATGTAAGACCATTATTTATAATGTTATTGATGAACAGTGTATGGCCCCTACCTGGATGGGTGATTGTAGAATTATTGAACAGCTGACTGGTATTCTCAGTCCATAAACAGTCGGGATCTCCAAGTTCTTGTCCATTGGTGCGACCATCCCCATCTGAATCAGCTTTACATATAGATTTAGTCCAGATCTAAAATTATCAGAATAACAGGACTGCAATAAATTCACTTACATAGAAGTGTTATCATTTATCAGCAAAAAGTTCAGGCTTTGACAATTAAACCAGAAAAAGGAAAAGATAGTACAGCAGTTCGTATTGCCAAATAAAGCAGTGATAAGGTAGCAATTTAATGAGAGAAAAATAGACACAATTACGATTTCATTCCAAATCATAACTATAAAACTTCTTCTGAAAGTGTTACTGCATCTGGAAAATTGAGATAATGACACTTTTCATGTTATATTATGGAAAGCCTCAGCTGTCATCTATTAGAGATTTACAAATCGTTATGATGAAACTTAAAATGTAAAGTTAAGACAGCGTGATGTTGAATTGAGTCATCAAAATGCTAACTCTTGATACAAAATGTAGCATAGTACGTCACATCCGGTTGCATACAAAAGAGGGTCGAACAAAAATATTCCAAAGAATTTGACAGTTGTAGGTTATTAATCCTACATTTCATTGAAGTAAACAATTTCTGGGTCATAAACATATATCTTGGGTATTTCAAAGCATCATTATTTTTTTATTTGGGGTTTCTATAGAATATTTTGAAAACTTGAGGTCACTTTGTACACAGATAAAAAAAAAGGTGAACATTTGATAGGTTAACTTCCAGTGAAGGTTTTTTTCTTATATGCAATGAAATGTTATGTGAAATTTTGCCTTTAGTACTGGACAGGATAAAACTTTACTCATACCTAGTATTTCTTTATTTGAAACAAAGATAAATTCCGCACAATTTTTTGAAAAGTGCATATTTAACAAAGACGAATAGGGGAAAATCAATGGTGGTATTACACCTAATGTGGGAAGCTGCACATGCACCTATGACCTTGTGAGTAATCTCATTTGTTAAAATTTCTTGCTATTTAAGTGAAATATTGCAAAAATGAAATATTCTGAGTGGATTGAGTCTCAAAAATACATTTTAGGAGAAAATTTCCTTAAACTAGGACTCTACCATGAATACTAGTTAACAGAGAAGCCATTCTCAGTGTTTTGGGGAGCTTTTTCTCCTTATTTCTTATATTTTGCTATAATAGAAAATTTTTCCTAAGCAATACATTAGCACACATTTTTTGTCCAGAAGCCAAATAAAAAAAGCACAAATTTACCAAACAATGATACTCTTGCTACTAACAATTTGATGCTAGGTGGTTTTGTAACACCTTTTTAAGCATCTGTGCTGCCTGCTGATGAGTCCTGAGTGTAAATGATCATTCACTTATACATACCGGTAATGTTAGTAAATATAAATTATTTTTTTTGAATCCTGTTCATATCTAAAAGAATTTTTAATCAGTTTGTAGGAGTTATGAGCATCTGTATTGGAATCTGCCATATCTGGTATATTATCGTAACTTAAAACCATAATATATCTTCAATTTCCTCGTACAAACAAAATCTTTTACTAATGATACTAGGAAGATCCTGAACAAATTTTCAGTTTTATGTGGACAAACCCAAGTATAAAGTATTGACCACCTCAAAAGAACATAATTAGAACCATACAAATATTACATGCATGCAGGTTATCGGACACCATCTCGCATACTACAATCACATCATGCAGAAATGCACCCAATGTGGTTCTCTTCAAATTTTGGAACTTATTTTATCGGAATCATTTGGCAATCCTTCCAATCTTTTGCTTCTTTACGTAAATCTCTCCAGCGTTGGAGCACACTCAATTAGCTGTATTCCCTTTACAGATCATTTTTAGAAATGTAAATGTATTCACATAGAAGTTATTTCAAAGTTAAAATGTTGAAAGGAAATCCTCCAATGAAACATTGAAAATGCACAAAATTTATTTACAGGAATGTACATATTATATACAGGAACCACTATTAGTACTTTGGCCAATATGTAGATTTGATATTAAAAGCAATGTCTAGCTAAATAAAATCTATGAACAGTCGGCACTGATTTAAAGTAGTGTCTCCTCCATGATAGTCTTGATTGACCTATAATGATTTACTTTTACAAATTGTGACTTGGATGGAGAGTTGTCTCATTGGAACTCATACCACATCTTCTTATATCTATTGAACATTAAAACTCAATATCAAATAAAAGACACTGTTATTTTCAGTGTTTGGTACAGGTTGGCTGTCACTGTGCACAACAGTTAAACATAGAACCCTATGGGGAAAAACCAGAGAACTCTTTTTGTCAGAAAACACTGTCAAATATCCAAACATACTATCCACACTGATATGTGTCCATACTTGTACATTAATAAATATATAGTTATTACAATGTAGTAAATGAAATTATTTTTAAAGCAGTAACAACAAATTATTCACTTAAAGAGACGCTTTTTATGTCCCTCTCTGGAACGCGGCGTAAATTTAAGTTTTACGTAAGGACTTATTGAAACCTCCTTGGAGACAGTAAACTTTTATATGGATAGTTCATTCTGATGAATACTTCAATTACTCATTTATTATAACATTTTTATCATAAATGAGTGAAAGTTACCCCAATTTTTTTATTTGATGTTGTGATGATATGCCAATAACACGTTACGTTGAGTTTAAACTACATGATGTGAAGTTGACGCTGCATGATGTTAGCTTGCAGATGGATAATGTTCTGCAGCCATCCACTTCGATTGCTATGATAACAAAAACAAAACAAAAAGCTGAAACGTATGGTGCTGACTTGATATTAATAAATTTTGGGCTGAGATAGTACGATGGTATATTATTGTGATATTAATATAGGTCTATCATACAATCTGGTTTTTTTTTAAACAACATGATGAACAGTTGAAAGTACATGATGTTAAGTTAAGATATCACGATGCTACACCACTTTATTGAAACGAAAGGCTTACCATACAATTTGTTGACTTAAAACAACACGATGCAACGTTGAAAGTACCTACTGTTAAGCTAAGATATCACGATGGTTTATCAGTATTATGTCACGATGGGCTTACCATGCAATATGCTCACTTGAAACTACACGACGTACAGTTGATAAATGTGATGTTAAGCTAAGATAGCACGATGTTATATCATTGTAATGTCACGATATTCTTATTAGAGGTTTCTCGACATCTTACGAACGGACGAAACTCTACGAACGTATCGTTAAGGAGCAGTGATTTTGTTCACTAACAAATTTCTACCGATATTGCAGTGTGTTTAAAGACAACAGGAAACAACTTGATATTCCTTTTGCAACCTTGCATTTTATTGTTTTAGTGTTCCAATTCATTTTGTGTTGTTGAATGTTACGTAATCTTACGTTGAATTTCGTTTGTTTACATGTCCTACATATGCAATCGATTTATCTCCCTTATCCATTCGAAAAGGAACATTGTTTTTTGTGATGTTGTTAAAAAAATATTCCGCGCATATAGTTGGCATTTGATTGATTGCTTGTTGGTCGTTTAACGTTCAGTGGCAAGTATTCCATGCATATCACGACGAGATTAGTATTTGAAATAGGATTGAAAAGTGATTGAGATGACACAACTTTAGCATGTTTCATTTATTATATCCTCACGTCATTTTGATAACCCACTTCCAAGTTCTACAACACAGTCAAGAACATTGCCATCTTTTGTTACTGTACAACGAACGAATGACTCTAAATGTTTGCAATTCTTTTATTACATGCTCTACGTACACACACCTCTTCTTGTGGAGTCTGTTAAATTTTCTCATGCGCCTTTTTTCTCATGTATCTGTCTGAAAAAATATCGGCGGAATTATATGGAACGACTAGAGGAGGAGTGTTTGGGTAAATGCTGTCTCCTAGAATAAAGCACCCAGCAGGAAATTCCAAAGTTGCGCAAGGTCCAATTGGTCCAAGTTGCTTATACGTATTAGCGTCATTTTCGTTTCCGAGAAAATGACAGCAAAGGTTTTGCATGAATTTATAGGCCAAGCAAGACTAACATATCAGCAATTGCACAAGGTCTTAGCTAGTTTTGAAAATTCAAAAACAAAGTAGAGTAATCTTATCCTATCATATTTTCCGTCGCAGGTTAATACATGTATACGTATAAAGCAACTTTGATAAAAAAAATTATTAATACAAACGGGTAAAGAGATAAGATGTCGTTTACTGTATGTCAATTTCTTCATTCATTCCCAAATTTATTCGATAATATTCAAAATTCAATTTAAGGAACTACTCCTTACAGTAAGACAAGACGGCATGTTTTATGCTTTCTTGGATATATATTTCGTTAACACAGCTATTTATTTTTTTTTTCTAAAATATTTTTGGGATTCAGTTACAGTAATATATATGTGCACTCGATCTACAGTAAAGTAATAGTAATTCTTGTTGAAAGTATGAGTGCTACAGCACCAACAAACTGGTAGTCACATGGTTTTTAAAAGGTACATTTTTTTTAAAATTACATGCCTAAAATAAGAAGAAACAAATAGGAAATAGAAAAACAGAAGAAAATATAAACAACATGCCATAAAAGCTCAACGAAGAGAAGAAAACAATAAACAAGTAAACAAAATAAATAAATGTATACTAATATTTGTACGACAATATAAACATACACAAATAGAATAAGAAAGGCTATGAACACACAAAAAAAAACAACAAAAAAACAAAAAAAACAAAAAAACAAAAACACACACACAATACATTACAGAAAATCTTTTTCAAGTTAACTGTTTTTTTTTTAAATATTTATTTCAAAATCTTCCTTTATTTATCTTCTTGAGTATGCCAGTTTAGCTAGAATATTAATCAGTAATACTCATTCAGGTGAAGAAATGATTCTTTGGATTTTAATGGTTGGGGACAACGAAGTTATCTAGGATCCGACGATGTTTTTTTTTCGAATTAAAAACCGATTTTTTCTAGAGGCGTTCACTCCTAGATTCGTTTTACCTCATTTTAGCGGAGGACTTTTTACCTCTGATCTGAGCCTAGATAAGTTTTCAAAAAGAATCCTAGCCCCTCTCATCCCAAAGTTCTACATTTACCCTTTATCACATGTATGTACTAAATTCGATATGATGTCATGTTTATCAAAAAATCTTGTACGATTACTATCCTTGGTCTAAATATTTCATATTCTTCGCCAAAATTCATTGATAAATTAGATTTACTATACTGAGTTGATTGAATACTGAATTGTATATTATTACATATAATATATCAAATCAATATAAATATATCTACAACTTGAAAAGGTTTAATAAGAAAACCTGCATGTATATTTTTATGTAATAGACATTTCTAAGAGAAGTGAACAGCCGATAGTCAATTATTGTTATTAAGGTGGTACATAACACTACAGGGAGATTACTCTGTAACAATCAGTTGAATGTATTAATCACGTACTATTGTTAAGGAAATATTAAGCTTTTCATTGATCAAAATTAATGTTTGTCAAACTGCTATAAATCCAATGAAAATTTTCCGATAAAGTGTGTGGTTCCAGTTTTTTTGAAATTTTCATATTTTTGTCAAAGGGTTTAGGTAAATATTTTGTCAAAATTTTATGAAAATTAAACGAGCCAAAATTAATTTTAGTCAAGGTGTTTAGTACCACCTTAAATAAATGAATGCTCCCTCTTTTCTTGTTACGGCAAGTTCTGTCAAGTTACGACGATTTTCGTTCGTTCGTTGCAACCTCTTTTATACAATATGCACATTTAAAACTACACAACATACAGTTGAAAGTACGAGATGTTAATACGAATATACGAATACGAATATACGAATATACGAATACAAATATATGAATAAGAAAATACGAATACGACTACGAATATACGATTATACGAATATACGAATATACTTTATTTAATCCAATTAAAGGGCCCGTTTTCGAGCATATCTAAATAGAAATAATTATGGTAATTTTAAGATACATTACATGAAAAATAAATGAATAAATAACTATCCTCCATACAAGAAAGTGCATGATGAATATACAATATAATCATGTACATTGTCGGAAAATATAAACTTTATTTGTATGAGCTTTAGAAACAGGACGAAAAGCGAGGCTCGCCGAGCTTTACTCCTGTTTCCTAGCGAGTACAAATCAATTTTATATTTTCCTACAATATAAATATACTGTTTTTATCCTGAAATTAACACCCACCACTTGAAACTTTAGTTGTCAAAATTTAAATCATTGTCTCTAATTTTTCAAAGAAATCGACATAGTATAAACGCGGACCGCGAAGAGGATCCTAAAATGAACTGTTATGCAAAAAGAAATATCTACATTTCCGCTCGCTCAACATGGAAGCTAGGTAACAGGAAACTTTATTGTACAAGTACAAATAAAGCAAACATTTATTGATGTACCTGTTATTTGTACAATAGATGCCTGATTGCAGGATAAAAGAAATGTGTATGTATTGTTAAATCTTAGGCTGGTCCTCTCCCTTGCAACATACGGGTATCTCTGTCAGAGCCAAACAGATAAAGGACAGGGAACCAGTCTATGTTAAATCTTACCTTTCCAGTGTTCACTTTGTTTTGATACAGATCTATTCCGAATGGATTCAGAGTTCCTCCACCTCCAGGTAATTCGTGTCCAACACCATTCCAGAGTTTGTTTTGGTGGCAGGGGTGACGGACTTTATCTCCGTTTGGAATGGACGATTGATATGACGGGTAGGAATAGTTGCCGCCAAACAAGGAAATTAAACACACACAAATCACTATGCTGTCAAGATTAAAAGATCACTCTTGAAAATGCAATACATTCAAATTGAAGATTATAATATTTAAAAAGAAAATATCTCGTAATCTTATTTTACAAATTAATTCTAAAAACGATGGATCCGCTAGTATTGATAAATTCAAATCAGGTGCAGATTCAGGGAGGGAGTTTGTTGCTGAAAATTTGGATGATTTTGAGTACAATTTTTTGATTATTTGACTGCCGGTTACCTTCTTATTTTTGTTTGGGCCCTTCGATCCCCTTTTGAAAATCCTGGATCCACCTCTTCAAATCAAACTCATTGTTGGAAGTCATGAATTTCGTACTTATTTCAAATACTTTTGTATGAACAATTTACATTTTCATTTAAAAATGGGTACAAAATATTTTGAAAATGCAAATTCATAAATAATTCAAATTACTATAAACATTTCAGTAACTTACTATTTTAATTCAAGCTTCATTTTCATAATATTATCTGTAATGAAAAAAAAATGTTTATTAACTAAGCAGTTTTATTTTATTTTATGTTTCAGTTATTATTCATGTATTTTTTAATTCATAATATTGTTTGCACATTTACTTATGAATCTATTTAATATTTATATCAATAAATCTCAGCATTCCTAACTTACTGTCTGTAAAACAAATCTATTGGAATGTTTGCACCTTTTAAAGATTGATTGTTATGAGGGCTGTCCCCTTCAGATATTTTTTTATAACTTTATAAATATGTAATTAATGGTTTTCCACGTTTAAGATCAATCCATACAACCTCCTATTATTTGCAGAAAAAAAAAAACATTTCTCGTGACAATAGTAATTAAATACAAACCCAATAACTTTTGTTTCTTTTATCATAAAATGTAGAAATTTCCTATAACTAAATGTCTGCATTTTCTGAATTCGTAAAGACACATTTTGTCACCAATAATAAAAATACAAGTTATGTCATATTATTTGTCATCATTTCAACTTCCCGTTTCTGTCGTGCCTCCAGCTGCTTCATTAAAAGATCGGAAACATGGTATATCCATCCACTCATATTTGGTTATTATGCGATTAAAACCTGGGGCCATGTCAATGAATACGATTGAAGTAATATATAGAAATGAGACGTCACGAGAACATGACTACCGCAAAAATCAATAAAAAAAAACATTTACAAAGCTCTTTATATATAGCAAATTCTTAGCAAATTAAGACCATTTTCAAAAAATGTTCTTTGAAAATAAATTTGTGTTACCAAACTTTTAATTATGCGCAAATGATTAATAAATATATCATTTGCAAGATTTCAAGTCAACTTTTACTGTGAAAAAATATTGATAGTCAGAATTATTGGTCCCCTTCGAGCCCACCAGTCTTTGCTCCTACATTGTACTCCTTAATGCTTAGTGGAGAAGCAACGAATGCCGACCGGGCACATTGCATCCGCCATTAGACATATTGACTAGTTTTCAAATAGTTGATAAGACTGTGGCAAACATTTTTTTACAGGAATGTCAAGAGCGAATAACTAAAATTTGTGGCTGACACGCTTCAATGATTATGGTATATTTATATGTTTCATAACGAGTGAGAATTGGATATCGCTTTATATCAACTCGAGTTATTTAATTTCAATGTAATAATAAACGAGCCTTCGGCGAGTTTATTATTCCTATTTAAATTAAATAACGAGAGTTCATATCAAGCGATATCCAATTCTAACAAGTTGTTAAACATATTTCTCTTATGGTCGTTGAATTAAAAATCCCGCTAATCGTTGATCTAGTCTTTTGCACATACCAATATGACGTTATATGTCCTGTTCCGATGTCAAACTTTAACATCAGACATTTTAAAACTTTTTGTACGCTTCAAAATGTAATAAAATTTGACAAAATGAAGAATTTCAGGTGAAAAGTGTGAGTGTTTTGTATATTATTGAAGAAATAACATATGCCCGTTTCCACAGACGAAATGTACATCGTCTTAACCTTTGAAAGATTTCAGTGACCTATCGAAACGCCAATGGAAATGTCGTATTTATCGTCTCATGATGCTGAATAAGCCAATCAAATTAACGCATATTCTAATATCTCATATTGTTGAAGAAATAACATATGCCCGTTTCCACGGACGAAATGTACATCGTCTTAACCTTTTTGAAAGTTATCAGTGACCTATCGAAACGCCAATTGAAATGTCGTAATATCGTCTCATGATGCTGAATTAGCCAATCAAATTAACGCATATTTTAAGATCTCTTTTTCCTATCACACTCCGTACAGTGTGAAACGAAAAAAATATCTCTTCAAGCAAGAAATAGATAGCAGGCCACAACCATAAGACAAGGATGACTATTAGCCTTTTCTCTGCCATACGGCCTATCCGGACTATTTAAAAACACTACCCTTGAGTGCCACGGGTGAGGCTTGGCAAAAGGACAACGGAATTTTGACGTTACGTTATAATAAACAATACGTCATAAAGCTGGAGTGCGGGATCTATCGGCTTCAAATCTATTCCAACTCCATGATTTTGGGTTTTGCCACAAGAAGATGAAAAAGAACCACAATTTAATATCAACCAGAGGGGACCAATAAGAATGCTAGAAAAAAACTCGTCGCCAATAGTTTTTTTTTTAGTTAATATTTACTGTTTTACTCTTCTCTTTAGAGCTGACAAAAGTATTTGTGCAACAAACAAACATGTTGGAAGAATTTCCATGTTTTTTACGTTAACTTTTGGCAAGCAAGAGCATCTGTTAGCTTGGTACATGTATATGAAATTCTTTATGTTGGGATGATTAAAAAAAATGTTGTTGTGACTATATTTGTTGAGGAATACTAAAATAAATATTACCCGTATCAACTACTAGTCAGTATTGAAAATGTGTGTTCAATGACTTAACTTGAATTTGATAAATTTCTTCGAGTTTCTGTTTTCACTGCAACTTTACTGAATGAAGATGAAGTTCGATAAAAACTCTCATAAGATAAACAAAACAAACATGTTTACAGACAAAGTAGCACAAAAATAAATTGAAGCAAAATCATGCTCCGATTACCTTTACATTGTTATGCAATTTATATTCGTCACCTACAGTTTTTGGTCAAATATTTCCCATAAAACTACATATTCTCAAAAAACTTATTGTAAGGCCGAATTCTGGCTGGAATTCAACCAACTTATTACCAATAGAAACATAGTTGGCATAGATTTATTTTTGAATGCTTTTTTGGTTATATTTACATGTATTATGAGAAGCGTTTTCCTCTTCTAATGATATAAACACATATATGTTTGTCAGGAAATTTGCTATATAAACCAAACATGATTTCAAAAAAGTATATAATTATACATGATAACATCAGGATAAAACCAAGTAGACAAATACACTGCAGACAATTCTTTTTTTCCAACTCTTAATTGGTTGAAATATAGGCATACATTGTTACCTGTGTTCAAAATATATATATATTTTTTAAATGTATGTGTTATCATTTGAAAGATTCAGCAAAAGATTGTAAATGACGAATATTTTTACAAAATACTAAAAATAATAAATGTGTGACGACCATGATGGCTAAACAAAAATGATGACGACTGCGACTACAATGGATTTCGCTCATACCTGAAAATATATTATCATAACATAGACATGATAGAAGTGGCCAATCTAATAGACGTATTTACACTTGTATGCAAATTTGTCCGCCATTACGTAAAAGCACACAGGTTCCCGTAAACTTTGACATCATAATTCAAAACATTTGACGTTACAATTAAAAAGTGATTGTTGCCTGACGTCAAAAGGTTATTCGGAGTAGATCTAAGGTCATTCGGAGGCAAAATATAGCTAAATACCAAAAGTGTAAATACGTTTATTATAATCTTGGTATCCAGCGTTTAAAAATAAACAAAAAATTAAATTAAACAAAAATAATCGGACAAAAGAACGGAAAAATTAAACATTAAATGAAAGTGAATTTAAGTCTTTGCTTTAGTACACACGTTTGTGAAATTATGGATAGACTCATTGATTATTGGCTACTTAGTGTCCATCGGCAAATATTTTAGTCATCAAGATAACGCACGGAGATAAGATGCACAAGGTCGATCAGCATCGAAAAGTGATATATGTAGCTGTTTACTTTCCGATATGTATAGCAAATTAAATATCCGGAAATCTGTGGTAGGAAAGTGTAGAATTCATGTAAATATCGCAAAAAAAGTTCAGCAACTTTGACTTTAAAAAAGATGCGGAAGATATCAAAGGGACACCCAAAAATTATAAGATCAAGGAGAATCTGGAAACGCTATAGAAAAATCATGTTTATGATAACACATATTATACGTTTGAGGATGCGTACAACGAAAAATGAATTCGGTAGTCCCCTGTAAATTTTATATCAATAAAGCGGAAATTTTAGTGACAATGAAATATCATTTTAAAAAGAAAATTCACAGATTCTTATCTCCTCTTAAACAGTAGGATTTTTAATGCCATAATTGGAGCTGAAGTGTACCAAAAAAAGTCATATCATAGGAGTCAGTGTATATAATGTGCGAATCCTGAAATACCGTTTTTACTTTATCCGTTATGAATTTCTAATGTAGAATGATAAATAAACAGACGACAAATTCATATTTTTTTAATAAAATAAGAAATAATATATAATATGTACTGTTTTTATACATTTATGATATAGGTAAGAGAAGCGGACGGGTTTTCATCGCGCTTACAGTCATCAAGGTGTAAAATTAATACACAAAAAGATAAATATTAAGAATAGTTCACGAACAGAACGTGCAAGAGATTTAAAAGCAACAGTTAAGTTTCATTTGCAGAAAAATGTACATGTACCTTTTAACATAAGTATTAATGCTGTATAACTTAAAACAGGTTTTGTCATTCAGCTTGTTGATATTGAATTAAATTCCACTATGCTGTTTTCGTTATACGATTCATGTTTACTGTCAAATAATGATACTAGACTTTCACTGTAGGGGCGACTCATTTCTATTGTATATGCGATGCATTTTCACAGACGGAAATTGATTAATTGTCTTCATATAAAATCTTAATTCAGTCGACTCTCTAACAAAATTTATGAAGTCTGAAGGATTGATTATATATATGCATACTTTGTGATTAAAAGTCAAGGTAATATATCAATAAATTCACGTCAACGAAAAAGCAAAATTTTCGTTTTCGGTCTGAATCTACATCACATACTTATAAAACGTCATTAGAGCTATTTTCTTAATGATTGTAGTTTAAAGGTGCGGTTGGCTTGCTTGCTTTGTTTGTATAAATGTTTGCTTAAGCATTGTAATTTAGATTGAGCAAACATTTATACAAACATGGCAAGCAAGCCAACCAAATCTTTAAGCTACAAGCATTAGGAAAATAGCTCTAATGGATGCATCTTAGAAAACAAAGAGCGTTCACAAAACGATCTTCATTTCACGA